ATATGATGGTAAAAGAACAAGAAAATATATGATGGTAAAAGAACAAGAAAATATATGATGGTAAAAGAACGAGAAAATATATGATGGTAAAAGAACAAGAAAATATATGATGGTAAAAGAACAAGAAAATATATGATGGTAAAATGAACAAGAAAATATATGATGGTAAAAGAACAAGAAAATATATGATGGTAAAAGAACAAGAAAATATATGATGGTAAAAGAACAAGAAAATATATGATGGTAAAAGAACGAGAAAACCAGATCAGCAATTTAAATCTTAAGAAATTAAAAAAATTTAAAGAAAAGAAATTTAAAAAATCCAATTACTTTTTGACATTTGTTTGTCACAAAAAAACTTATACATGTCTGTAACAACATTTTTTTAGTTTTGTTCCCTCCTGCTACAAATTTAGTCTTATACGCTGTTTGATTGATTGAACAAATAAAGTTAACAATACTTGGCTGTGATTTGATAAAGACATAAAAAAATTTTATTTTGTTTTACAAAATAACGGGTGATTATTAAAAATCTGGACAAAACTAAAAATTAAATAACTTTTAAACTAGAAGACCTATTTTATTGTTTTAAAAAAAATAAAATCGCAAATTTATTCTAGTTTTAATAAAAACGTTTATCTTAATTCGACAAGACTTTGTCTTCTTATTGTGTCGAGTCTTCTGCTAGTAGACTCTGCCAAGCATTGTACCAGCTCTTTGTCGAATTTCTTAAAACAATAAATTATTCTAGAGCCTAATTGATCCAAATTCTCTGCTTGCCAACCATTTTTGTAAACATTTCCTTTGATACAAGACCAAAAATCCTCAATACAACGACATTCAGGCATATTTGGAGGGTTTTCACTTTTTGTTACAAACATTATACCATTTTCATTTTTTTTCAAAAACTTAACAGCTTTGTTTGAGTAATGGGCACTTGCTAGATCAGGCCAGAATATGTATTTGGTATTTTTTGGAAGCTGTTTGATGTGTGGTAATAGTTTTTTAGTCAAACATTCATCAACATAAATATGCTGGTTAATAGCAATTCCAGACTGTACAATGTATGGAGTTGATAGGCCTATAGGCAAAATGACCACTTAAACCAATAATTTTTCTTCAAATTTCTTTTTTTCTTTAAATTTAACATTGTTTGGTGTTAATTCGATGTTACTTGAATAGACATTATCATTACCATTAATTTGGCTGTTCGAGAGAGTTAAATGAGACTCGTTATCAAGAACCCAAATAAAATCTTTATAATTTTTATAAAGTTGACCACACAAACGTCAGTTTTTTGCTCTCTGGCTCTCAGTTCGACTTGGAATCTTCATTTCTTTTTTTTATTATTGATGTTTTGGTTTTCAATGTCTTAGAAATAAGTGACTGAGAACATTTGAACTTTTTTGAAGCTCTACGCTGAGAAATGCCACATTTATGGTCAAAAAGCTTGGTAAGTTGACTGATTGCGCGCTTAGTCATTATTTTCGGCTTTCTACCACTATCAGTTTGCCTTTCAAATGGTTTATCTTCTTCTACACGTTTAATAATTCCATATATAGTCAATCTTGATATGTTTTTTGCTTCAAAATGAGAAACAGTGAATGGTTTAGGTTTATCTGAATTTTCTTGATAAAACTGGTACACACGTTTTTTCTGGAGCTCTTCGTTTGACGTTATTTTTAATACTAAATTTAAAATACTTATATAAAAGTTAATATATATTTTAAAAGAAGAATAAATTTGCAACATTTAAAAAATTGTTTGAAAAAATAAGTATTAGTTGCATATAGAAATATGATGTAAGCAATTTTGTCCAGATTTTTAGTAATTACCTGTTAATCACACAATTTCCAAAAAAAATTATTGACTCTTAAATTAAATTGTATATTGATAAGAAAATAAATCCATCTGTTTCTATCTTGGTTAAAAACTCAAATATAAGATATTTCAAGCCATTCATTGAAAATTATTCTAGTTATACTAAAATGAAAATTAAAAAAATTAGTTATAAATACTGCAAAGATGTTATAATAAAATTAATATTTACTACTAATAAAATACAAAATAATTTTTGTTTAAAAGATCCTCTTTTAAAGCTACTTAAACCTCGTTGTTTACAAATTTTCTGTGCTGATTGTAATGCCAGTTATATTGGAGAAATCTCCAGACATTTAACAATTAGGATTAATGAGCACCTTAGGGCTGATAAAAACCCAATGTATATTAACATTTAAATACATCAGTTAATTGTATAAATCTGTCTAATTGTAATTCATTTGAGATTTTGGCTACTATTTTAACCAAACATAAATTAAAAGTAAAAGAAATATAAATAGTATCATGTTTAAGGTTCTTTTTATAATAAAGAACTAAGCGTGAAAATAGATTTGCATAGGAAATAAGTAAATCTAGCAATAATATAATTTAATAATGATATCTGAAAGTTACTTACTAGTTATAATGAAGCTGAAAGCTAGATAGCTAGTTATTACCTACCTATATTGCTGGAAGTGATTTTTAAGTCTAAAATTATGGCTATAAAACTAATATAGAATAGTAGTGGTTGCATTCACACCTAAAAAAATAAATCAAGTTATGTATAAATCATTGATAAGTTCATGACTTCATAAAATTAAATTTGCATTTCAAATATACAACAAAGACTAGAGTTTTTTAAAAAATTGAGCTATATAAGGTAAAATTTGATTTTGAACTTTGTAGTCTTTATCCAATAGACTTAACACTCCTGTTGATAAAGATGTTAGTAACTCACTAATAGGTTAGATGATATAAAGAAATGGAATACAGGCTTGGTCGGGAAGCGGGAGCGATCGCTCTCGATTGCTGACCACGTAAATAATATTTAGTTGCGAAAAGCTGGCCAGATTGCTAGTCGTTTTGAGAACATTTAAAAAAAAAAAAAAAGCGACGAAGATTAATTGGACCAATGAGAGACAATTACAAAAAAAATAAAAATGAGCGATGTTTTTATATAAAGTAACAACTTACGATTGGTTAAAAAGGAAATAAATATTCTTTATTTAACTAAGTTTGCAAGTTTTAGTTTTACTTAAGCTAAATTATTTTATAAATAAAAAAGTTAATTTTTTTAATACCTATTTTATGTTTCGCGTAGTTTGAAAAGTTTAACATATTTGAAGCGATTCTTCTTAGTAAGATAAACAAATGAAATAATTAAATCATTGAATTACTATAGGAATTAAATAATCAAGATAGAAATCAACTAAAAAGGTTAAAAATACTTAATGACGAGGAAGCGACTCTGCTTCACAATATCGCTGATGATGTTTAGTGAGTGGGCTTTTTAATTTTAATTAGTATTTAAAACAGAAAAAAGTATAACGAGTTTTAAGAATGGCAACTTAAGCGAAAATAATTAGAGTAAGTAAACCAATATCTAGAAACTTTTCTTTATATCTATTTATTTGCTATATATATTTGTGCTCTGTCGTGACCTCAGGCGCGATGCTTGTTCATCCGCGAGTTACTTTGTATGCGTTGTTTGTGTTTAGTAACCAAAAACTACTTATATATTTGTTACATAATGAGTTTTATTAACTTTAACGATTATAACTTCATTGAAAACGCAATTATTTTTGTAAGTCTTTGTTTAAATCATAAAAATTGCTTTAAAAGATACATTACAATAAAAAACAAATACAAAAAATTACATTTACATAAAGAATACAATCTCTTTTAAAATACGAATATACTAATAAAATCTATGATTTATAATAAACTTTTAAAATTTTAACTGTTTAATCAATATATATTTAAAACATTTATTTTCGTAAACAAATAATATATATTCTTAAAACAATGCTAGAAATCTCAAAACGTAACAAATCGTGTATAATACAATTTCTGAAACATTTTAACAAAATACTCTAGAACTTTACTTCGCTTATCAGCGTATTTTTTGAACCAATAGAATTAGTTTGTTCGTTAATTTGGCGGGTTTTTAGTGTTCGCAAATATTCTTTTTATTCTTTCGCACAAAGATGTTTTAAGAACATTCAAGTTTTTTATGTTTCCATGTATGTCCGTAAAACAAAAATTTTTGTTTCGTACATAAACTTAAATGTTCTCAAAACGACTAAAAAACCTGGCCAGTTTTACGCAACTAAATATAGTTTCCGTGGTCAGTATTCGAGAGCGATCGGTCCCGCTTCCCGACCAAGCCTGGGAATAATAATTCATTTGTTTTCGTATAAACATTAAGTAATAAGTTTAATTATTTTTTTACTTGTTATATAAAGTTCTTATATTATTTCTTGGAAAACATGCAGGTAATAAAATTAAACAAAAAGAAAAAAAAATGGAAAAAAAAACTTTATCACTCACCAAACCACGCTCATTAGTTTTTATACTAGCCAAGTCTCATTAAAGGTTTACTAATTTATTGTTTTTTACATATTAATTTATACTTATATAGCTCTGCCAGACCCCTGTTTGTATGTAGAGTGTTCTTTTCAATTAAAAATATGTTTAAAGTAAATTTAAGGTAAAGATTAATCAACTTGTTTCTCCGCGCAGCAGCCTTGTTCGTCAAGGTTTGTGTTTCAGAGTTATAGAGTTGAGAGAGGGTTATTACCACTATTAAGTAGCCTCCTCATCTGTAGTGGCCTCTTAGCCTTGGGGAGGTGAATTACAGAAAGAAAAAATATATATACTGAAAGCACATATTGAGGAAATATGTGTCTACTTAATACCCATTTTTAAATTTGCATTTAAAAAATGAAGTATAGGAATATAGAGGTTTTTAGTTTGTAAAAGTCCTAACAATCGGTGTCACTTTGATAATTTTCATATATCACTCCTTTCCTTGAATCCATAAACAGTAGCTTCCTTTCTACACCTTTGACTCTCTGACATTTGTTTATCTTTGACATTGATGATATAAAACAATGACCATCTTTGATATTGTTGATGCATGTTTGTATAATTTCTTTATAACTTTAAAGTTTTTTTTTTAGATTTGGTCAATTTATTGTATGGATTTTAGCTCGTATGGCATCAATATGTTGTGGTTTTCATTATGTCCCTGTGAAAGGCAAACTTGCTGCTGCAAAAGATGCTCCGATAGTTGTTGTTGCACCTCACACATCATTTGTAGATTCTTTAAGCTTTTTACCGTTTGGTTATTTATCAGCAGTATCAGCAAGTGAAAATTTAAAAGTTCCAGTAATGGGAAGTATGTTTGATTTTTTATAACACTTTTTATTTATATACTTTATAATCATTTTTAAATCAACAGTAGTTAATATGTTTTGGTTTTCTTAAAATGTTTCATCTAATTTTTGTCTTTAGACTATATTAGGCTGCTTCAACCTATTGTTGTATCTCGAGCTGACAGAGATTCAAAGGTTTTTGTTGCCAATGAAATTAAAAGGCGTTCAGCTGCTGGCATTTGGCCTCCAATAGTCATATTTCCCGAAGGTATAATTGGTTTTTAAATTATCTACATAACTGCAACACCCTAAATTTTATTTACTGTTAGTTTAATAAAGTTACTGAATATATTGTTATTAAGTAATGTTTAGCAATTAATAAAATAAGTAGTCTGTTTTTATTTAACAATAATCATAAGCCAATCTTGCAGTTTCTAAAAGTTTTTCTAAAAAATACTTTATGAATAAAATGTTACACTTCAATGGTGTATGCTCAGGGTCGCCCTACAGTACCAGATGACCGAATTTTGTGATGGACGACTAAAAATATTTCTATAATGCAATAAAGTTGCCCAGACAACTATTTCATCCACAGTTCTAGTTTTTCTTTTTTGAGTTCAAGAATTCTATAAAAAGAAAAATTCTAAAATAACTTCTGAAATAATAAAACAATATAAGAAGTTTTATTGTTTAAACAAAAATTTTAATTTAATTTTTTTTTACAAATTTTATTTTAAGGATTTAAATTAAGGAGATAAATTAAAAGAACCAAATCTGTCAACGAAAAAAATATCTTTGACTTTCTCAAGTTTGCATTTTATGTAGGCGTTCAATAGTTTTATATTAAACAAAAACCTTTTTATTTTAGAATATTTAAATTATCTTTTAATATCGTTTATGTGATGTTTATTCAGAAAATATTTCAAAAGTTTTTTAAAGAAGCAAATTATTTTATAAAAATATTTTTTAATCAAAAGACAGTATAGTTTTATTAAAGACAAAACTATATAAAAGTCTAAACTAGGGTATAATAATCAAAACTATTATATAAAAATTTAGTTTTAGAAAGATGTAAAAATTGTCTCAAGTCATATACAAAAAACAAGTATTACAGGGTTGTCACCAAATCTGGAAAATCAGGGGGAAATGATTGATTTAGGAAAAAATCAGGGAACTTTTTAATTTTTCTTTAATGTTTTGAAATGTTTTCTAATAAAAAATTTTTCTTTTCCAGGGTACCAGTGTTAATGTTTAACATTTTTAAAGAAAATTAATCACATTGTGATTACATTTGCTCTTTTTTAAGAATAGTACAAATTTTTTAAATTTAAAAGTTCCCTAATTTTTTTGTATTTCAAAGAAGAATGAATGGTTAAGTGATCCTTTGTTTGAAAAATGACTGGTAATAGGCAGTGATAAAAAGTCAGCCAAGTGAAAAATATGCAAAGTTGAATTTAATTTGTCAAATATGGGCAGAAGAGCTGTGATAAGTCACATGGATGGCAAAAAACATGTACAAAAGTCAAAGCCAGTATCTTGCTTCTTTATGCCTGCTCAGTCTACATCTAAAAAGCAAGCAATTCTTACAGTAGATTTATGTCAAAAAAGTTGTGCAGAAATCTATTCTGTTTTAAATGTAGTACCGAATAATTTCTCATCGAACTTATGTAAAATGCCTGAACGATTCTTTTCAAAATTGCCAATTGGATCCAAATATTCGGTTTTGGAGCAACAATCTAAATTATGTTGAATCCAGATACTAAATTTTTAGGTCAACCCACAACAAAAAATTTACTTGAAAGTATGACTAGGTTTTTCAACGATTAATACCATAAATCTGACTCAACTAAGTATGGATCAACCAAATTTGAAGTAGTCTCTTTTTAATCTTCTTGAAATGCAGCCTGATCAACAAGAGCTACATAAACTTCTTAACTTTGGGAGCTGTAACCTTTATCACATGGGGCTTTCAAATCCAATTTCCAATTTGCTGATTAGAATATAGGGGAGTTAATGAAAGCATCATACAACCTTTTTCATGATTCTCTGGATAGGAGAGCTGATTATGTAACTGTTACTAAATGTGAGAGTTGGACCAAAAAGTTGCAGATAGACTTTGTTTAATTTGAGAGAATGTTAAAAAAATAACCAAGTATTGGGAGACTCTTCCTAAAGTAAGCAACCAAAATACAAGAACCATGACACAGTGTTAAGGAATGAGGGGGGGAGTTGTGAACAAAAGATGAGTTTGACTAAATTGAAGTTTTTTGGTTACATTGCAAGTTTGTTGCAGAAAATCATACTGAGATATCAAACCGATGCTCCAATGATTCCCTTTCTTTTTGAAGGTTTGCTCTCAACTGTTAAAAGTTTAATGGGTTTAATTATAAAACAAGATGTCCTTAGCCGCATCGTCAATGGCAGGCAACTTCAAAAATTCAATTTCACTAAAAAAAAAAATCTTTCTGCCTTTAAAATTGACAATTTTAATGGCAGAAAGTTTTCCTTTTTTGTGAAATTAAATTTTTTACATCCAAAAAAATGACAATTGGATTTGCTGCAGAACATGACATTATCGAATTGAGGAGAAAGGATGTGTTATCTCAGGATGTCATCAACAGATTCATGAAAGATCCTGGAAAAAATATTCGAAAGAAGTTTGAACCATTTTTCTTTTCTGGAAGCAATTGGTTGCATCAGTCCAGTGTCAACTCTTTCTATACAAATTCCTGATCTTATTCATCTGATGAAATCTTGTTCTTTCTTGCTCACATATTACTTCAAATGAATGTGATGTGAAGCTTTCATACGATTTTTAAAGTTGTTAGAGGAAAGTTCATCTACTCTTATACCCGCATTTAAAAAATTTCACACTGGTAATCGTTTACACAAGTTTTATTTTGAAACCATTAAAGTTGGTGTAGATTACAAATCTACACCAACTTTAATCAAAGGTTTTGTCAAATGTTTAATATTTATTTTTATGTTATGTCATGGGCAAGCATATATATATATATATATATATATATATATATATATATATATATATATATATATATATATATATATATATATATATATATATATATATATATATATATATATATATATATATATATATATATATATACATATATATATATATATATATATATATATGGAATTCTACTGTAGTTTTTATATTTTTTTCCAATAATAATTTCATATGTTGATTGAAGTATTTGATTATTTATTTTAATTTTTAAAAATTTGATGGGTTTATTACTCATAGGGGTATTATGGTATCTGTTTTTTAGAGGTAAAAATCCTCTGGGGTTAATAGAGAGGTTTTAGTGTTGAGTTTAGGTGTTTGAATGCTGGAAATATCAGGGAGAAATAAGCAAAATTTAAGGGAAAAAATCAGGAAAAGTCAGGGAGAAAAAAGCAAAACTTTAGCGAAAAATCAAGGAAAATCAGGGAGAAAAAAGCAATATTTTAGCGAAAAATCAGGGAATTTTATTCTTAAATAACAACCCTTAGGGTGTCCCATTCCCGCAAAATTATCGAATTACCACACTAACTTTTAAATTGAGGTTTAGACTAAGAAAAAAAAAATATTTACCAAGTATTTTTAAAAAATATAAAAATTTAAGGGTCGCCCATTTAAAAACAGTTAAGTAAACCCTTTTTTACTGTGTTTTTTTAGTATTTTTGTTCAAAAAATTAACAAATATTTTTTGTAACATCTTCAACTTTTCACAAAGTATAATTTACTATCTTATTTATACTTTATAAAAAATTTGAGTTAAAAAAAATTGATTTAAGGGTCCCCCCTCTGATTTAAATAGTAAAGTGGTTTTAAGTATTTTAACTTCTGTTAATGTAAGATCGATACAAATAACACTGTTTAAAAAAAATAATCAAATATTCATTAAATTTTCTTTTCGTCCTTGAAGAGAAGCTCGTTTGCGATGATCCTCCACTATTTGAAGTAGTAGTTGAAGATGTCCTGGGTCCTTGACTTTATTTTTAAAGTCTTGTATAAGTTTTACACCTCTCTCGGCGCAGTCATTCACAACTTGACAGTACTTAACAACATTTTTCACATAGTTGTAATCTTTCATCTTCATCCAGTGCTCAACAGGCAATTGCATCCAATCTACCTGGTTTGCAGTCATTTTGATTAAGTTAAATAACAGTCAGGAATGTGGACAAATTAAAGAGACAAAGGAAGGAATGTTTTCGCCATCGACTTTCGGGAAAGACGGTTTTCCAGGCTTCATTTCTTCACTTCTTTGGGTGTCGTACAACTTCAATGTCATAGCAGATCTTTCAATAGGCGAAATATTCTCATCAAACATCGCGAAGATAACTAACTCTTCAGTTAAATACCAAAGGTGTCTGTTGCAAGACTGAATGGCTGCATCAGAAGCAATTTTGTCTGTAACACTGTACCACTGCATATCGGCGATGTACTGACGATCAACTTTCGGTGCAATAACTGAGATGCGACTTTGTAAAAAAGCCTTTGCTTGAAAGAGAGCGGTAAAATTAGCCATTCTTTTCAATTTATGCCGTTGATCTGGATCGAGCGATGCAATCTGTTGATCCAACATGACAAGTTTCAAGATGTACAGCTCATTGTGCATAAATCTTGCACGATGATGCGCACCCAGTTTTTTGAAGTTAAACATCTTACCTTTTGGCAAGTCACCTCCAAGATAATGAACTGTCAGTTCAATTAATTCTTGATAATTGGCCCTTGGAAAAATATTCTTCTCAAGGCACTTACTAGCCCAGTTCAGAACGAGTGTTGCTTGGCGATAAATAGGATGTTTCTCTTCCCGCCACTCAAATTTTGTTATATCTGTAGACTCGGGAGAAATAGAATCCCAAATGTCTTAAAGCATTTTTAAAATTGGCTCAATAGGCCTGTTATGACTTCCATTAACTGCATCCCAGATGTGTGGATTATGCAGTTCATAAACATGATGGCGACAATCCAATCCAGCTTTCTATCCAGTGTTACTAGAAGTGGTGTCAAAAACCAAAGCAATCAAATTATCGTTAACAGTTTCCAGGAAGAAAAACACTTAATGAAGGCATCTTTCTGGGTGTGACCAGTAGAGTTGACAATTACAGGGATTTCTAGAACTTTTTTGTTTGCATTTTTTGAGGATCCATCCCAACCACTAGCCAGAATAGCAACATGCTCCTCTTTCTTTCCTACATACAAAATATGTTTGTTTTTAAATATTTTAGTATTTTTCAATATTTGCATTTCCAAACACTTAAAACAGTAAGCAAGTAATAAATTAATCACCCATTTACCAGTAACTAACGAAACAAGTTTTGAATCCCAGTGACTGGATGGATGAAGAGGGCGCTTCTCCTGATATTTCTCCTTTATTTCGGCACCTTGTTTTTCTCATTCTACTTTATGGTTACGGTGAACTGACGATCGCGAGATTGGAAAATGAAGTAACAAAGCACTGCAAACTTTAACAACTTTTGCTTCAACAGCCATTTGATCTCTTACGCTGAGGCCTAATCGGTCAGAGACATCAGTGAATGATTTTGTTAACGTTGTAGGATCAATTTAAATACAAACGTTTGGCAATCTGGTTTTTCTTTTTTGCTGAAAGGGAGTGAAAACTTCGACTTCTGAGCTGCTTGACTCATTCTCACTCTTCTTGATGATTTTTTCTACTTCTTGATCACTTAGAGCTGTTTTTCTTCTTTTAGCTATGCTGTGAGCATTGACTCTGTTTTCAAGGCGTTCATGGCGATCCAATTTGTTCTTTTCTCGCTGTGCATGAGTTGTGTCGCAACCAATCAACGAACCAACCTAATTGGAGGTAAACAATACAATAACTTAAAATGAAAAATATAACCTTAAGTAAACACAGTACAGCAACATTATTGAAGTAATGCATGAACTTACCTGTGGATACTTCCATTGGTTCAGTAAAAACTCCCAGTCCTCCTTCCAGGTTGCAAGTCGAGATATGCGTAATATGTAATACGTGTCAACAGCTGATATGTCACAGAGTTGATTCATCAATTGCAAAAACTGGGTTCGTTTCTTCTTGGGGCACTTCTTTCCCTTCTTCAACACAGTTTGCCATTCATTAAAAAATGCAATGAAATACTCGATACACTTGTTATCTGGCTTAACTGGTAAGTGAGCTCTTTTCCAAATTTCTTATAGTTCAATCAAAATATCTTTAAAAATACTTTTTGCCGATACTGTTATTTCACCACTTCCCTTGTTGATTTCTCTAAAGTAGAGGTATCTTCTGAGCAATGCAATTTTAAGGCGAAGTTTTACACTGACACTTAAACTTTTCTCTAATCCAAATCCAATAAAGTAATCTTTTTTCCACTGAACAATTTTTCTCTTTTATACTAGGTTTCGGTAGTTTACAAGAACGTAGATACATTTTTGTGGTTACCACTTAGCACAAGCAGAAGCAGATACTTGAGATGCCATTTAACAAAATCTGGCGCGAATTACTTTACTGAAAGTAAAAAAAGCAACAACTTTTTTAAGCCTAACAATTACAAAAACCTTAATTGCTTGTGTTTTAACTATATAAAACTCTAAGTCTAGTTTCTTAAAGTAAAGAAAACATGTAGAGCACTAATTTATTAAAACCAATATTTGAACAAATTGTATTATTGATTATGTCTGAATCTTATTATTTAGTAATACTAACATTAAAACTAAATAATAGTAATAATGTTAATATTAAAATGTTAATATTAAACTTACTGCTAAAACAAAGAAACTTAAAACGAACAACTTAAACTTACAAAATTTTATATTGACCACGCTGCTAAAGAAACAACAGGAAAATAAATTTTCTTTATACTGAGTGTCCAATTTAATCGCAATCATTATTTTACAATAATTAATTGGTTAAAATAAGACAATCAAACTTTTTTGCTTCGACACATGCGTTTCTATATATAATGTTTTATGAATACATTTTTATAATACATTAAATTTAAGCCTTTATGGTTAATAACTACTTTCTGACAATGCCAAATTACAAAACCACTTGATTATTCAATTCGGGGGGACCCTTAAATGAATTTTTTTTTAACTCAAATTTTTTTTTAAATTGATTTTAAGATGTATTTCTTGTTGTACGGGCATAAAGCATAAAAAAATTACATTATTTTGAAATAAAACTTTCATGCAGAAGCTTTTGATTTTGTTGTGCCTTAGTCATCATTAAACAACAAGATGGCGTACCTGAGGAAATTAGTCCATTTTAAATTTCTACTTGGAAATATTTGTTTCAACAAGATCTTTTAATTAATGTTGTCTTCATTTAAATAAGTTTTGTAAGCGATCTGTTGTTGGTGAAGAGCATTTGTTAATAAGAAAAAATTATATATATATATATATATATATATATATATATATATATATATATATATATATATATATATATATATATAATAAAACTGTTAACAAGAGACAAGAGTTGTATTTCCAGCAGTATACAACATTTATCAATAAATATATATATATATATATATATATATATATATATATATATATATATATATATATATATATATATATATATATATATATATATATATATATATATATATAAATAGAGGGAGAGAAAATAAAACTACACCATTTTGAAAATTATTAGTACTCAAACTTCTCATTATACTATTAACTTACCCATTTAATTAAACTGTCAGTTTATTTGATTTTGATTTGGGTTATATTGTTTGGTTATTTACTGAATACATAATAAGACAATAAAATGATTACATTTTTGTAATCATTTTATTGTCTTATTATGTATATTTTTGTCCATTAATATTTCTTTGTAAAGTCTTCTATATTTAATATTTTTTCTAGAGTTTTTATTGTCTTTTGTGTCTATTTTTTATAAAATATTTAGGCACTACAACGAACCATCAATGCTTTATAACATTTAAACCAGGTATTATTTTTTGACAGCTTCATTTTAAAATATTTGTAATATGAATTTTTTAATGAAATGAATGAATTTTTAAATGAAAATTTTTCTATTCTGCAAAAAGTGAAAGTTATCAATAAAGTAAAAAGTTAAAATAAAATGTTCTTTAACTTTTAAGGTGCATTTTATCCTGGTTTACCTGTGCAACCTGTTTTACTTCGCTATCCTGATCGAATGGTAACTATTTATATACCTTTAGTTACGATTGTATATGTCAATATAGTTATGATTGTATATGTCAATATGCATTACTCAATTATAAAGTATAAATATACTTTTTTTTTTTTTTTAAGGATTATGCATCATGGACTTGGATTGGTCCTGGAGCGTAAGATTTTTTTTTTTTTAGTAAAAGTTCTAAAATAGTTATTTGTACATTTTAATAGTTTTTATAAATTTTCTTTCTTTGTTTGTTTTTATCATTATTTTTAAATGATGAATTTTTTGCGCTAGTGTTGTGAAATAAAGTAATTGTTTAAACAAGATTAATTTAACATAAATGAAAGTTTTGTTTTAAGTAAATTAATGAGTTTAAAATATTTTTTGTGTTTTTTCTTTTACTTTAGATTATATCTGCTTGTTGTCATGATGTCACGTTTGCATAACCGCCAATCAGTAGAAGTAAGAAAATTATTTATAATTTTTTATTTTTATTGTCAATCAATTTTATCATTTCAAATTCTAACCAAAAGTAGATTAAAAATAAATTTTCAAATATTTTAAATATTTATTTCTAATCTGCTATTAAGAGAAAGGTAGACAACTTCTAACACTTGAGATTAAATTAGATATTGCCAATATGCTAAATGAAAATTAGTCTATCAGGATTTTAAAAATATTTTCTGATTCTGGGATTATGAAATTCACAGAAATGCAAAACTTTGTCAAGTTTAATATTGATTTTTGAACAAGACTTTTTTACCATGATTATTTGAACAAGATTATTTTAACATAAATGATTGTTTTTGTTTTTTTTGGGAGTTTCAAACCCATTTTAAAAAAATTATTTTCCATTATAAATTTATAATAAATATTTAAGAAATTAACTTGTCAAAGTGACAGGATTTATTTAAAATTTTACTAAATATATTATCTTTTTAAAAACATGTGTTAAAAAATTCAAGAATTAATCCTTGGATCCTGGGACTAGGTGCAATCTTAAAATCCTTATAATAAAAATATAGAATAGAAATTTTTTTAACATTGACTTTTTCAGGTTACAAAGTGGTTGCCATTTTATCTATTTTTCACTTTATGTTTGGTGAAAATAGGTTGTTGTTAAGGCAGTTATTTAAAAAAAAAAAATTATTAAAGCTGGTTGATCACCTGAAAGTGGTAGATTTAGATTAATTTAGTTTCATTAGAAGTTAAAACTTTTATTAATAGTTTTATAAATATTTTAATTATCATAAATATGAAAAAATAGATAATATAAAATATAAAAGAAAAAATTATCAATATATAAAATGTATTAAAAATAAATTAAATGTTTTCAGCCCATATTTTTTTTGTAAATATCAAAGTATAATTGAAGCGTTTCAATTTGATAACATATTCAAGTTGCATTTATTACTAAAAGCCAACTTACCCCAAGGCAGAGTATGTTAGTTATACTCTAGGGGTAAGTTAACTTACTATATTTAAAATTAAAGTTTAACATCTTACATAAGTTTAATCCAACAATTTTTTTTTTTTTTTTTTTTTTTTTCTGAAGGAATCTTTGAAGGAATTTTTTTTGTTGAAGGATTCTTAGCTGATGTATTTTTTCAATATCTTGACTATTTATTACATTTTGGTGATCCTAATGAACTCAAAACAAATATAACAAGATAATAGCAAGTTGTCTTTCTATTTTTTTATTAAGTTTACAAATCCTTTAATTAAAAGTTTAGTTAATCTTTTTGCAACTTTATGCAAAACTTAGTTCAAATGCTCACATCACTGTTTCCTTAAAGTGTGGATTTAAGATTTATTTATAAGTCTCTTTTCGATCGCTTAGAACAGGCAGCAAATCTTGAATCTGATTTCTTTTTTGTAACAGCTTTTAAATGATATTTTTTTACTCTTTGTTCCCTGCTCTACCTCTATAAATCTCTTAATTGTCCCTGTATAGAATACTGTTGTCATATTTAGGCTGGTTCTTTTAATGAAGCTCTTTCTCTTCTAAAAAAGGTCTAAAACACATTGTAAATGTTGTTAGACCTGCTCTGGGTCTGCCAAGTTTGACGCACTCTCCCATTGTCCTAAAGTTGCATCTCTTTCTCTATTTTATTTTTTAAAAAAGTTCTTATGACATAAGTTTTATTTATGAACATAAAATATATTATTCGAATATATCATTGGTAATTGATAAAATCTATCAATAATTTGTTTATAATATTTTTATTAAAAATCAATTGTTATGTTATGCATAATTGTTTTAACAAATAACTAATAAGAAAATATAATCTTATACAGAAGTTAAGGTTTAATTCAAATACAGAACTTAGCTACTTTAGCTGCAAAGCTTGATCATACCATCATAAGGTTGCATCTCCATCTCTTTTATATCATCGTAAGGTTGCATCTTCATCTCTTTCATATAAATCTTGTTATAGTTATTGCTTAAAAGAGATATCATTTTTTGTTCAATCAACCAAAACTCAGTGAAATTTTTATCCAGCAAAGTTCAATTCTTTTACTGTATCAGTCTCTTCAGGTTCTTTAAACTTTACTCATCATTTTTTCTATTAACATTGATGCTTTGGAATTCTCTTTCATCTTCATTTTTTTTTGACTTAAACAATTTACAGTCTTCTTTCACCGCTTTCTTCCTCTTTAACAATATTCTTTATTTTCTGGTACCTCCTAACTTTAATGGTGAATGTATATACATATATAGTTTTAAAAATCTCATATTGTTTTTAGGTTCTTCCAGTTTACACACCAAATGAAAAGGTATTATTTATATGCTAAAGTATTCATATTATAAAATAATGATTTTAAATTCATTATCATTTTTTTTTTTTTTTGCATTTATCTAAAGTTTAAGTTTCATAAATAAAGTTTTGTAAAAAGTATTTTTGTGGTTAACAGTATGCAAATTAGCAACTTGTTACTAATGTCAGGTTTTTAAAGGAGTAAAAAAGCACATAGATGACAAAATGATTGATCTATTTTTTAAACTTAATTTGCTAGAAATACTAGATATTTTACTAGTGGTAAAAAGTGAAATTTTCTGTCCAAAAAATCTAAATTAAAATTTAAAGTGTTTTCTTTTTTTAATTTAAACTTTTTTTTTCTACTTGAGGTTTGAGCAAAGTTTAGGACTTTTTTTTGTTTTCAGTTAACTTTTTTTTTTTAAATTACATTTTATTATTTTTTATATAATTAAAAAAAAGTTCACTTCTAACAAGACTACAAATACTAATTTGGAGTTAACAGAAAATAAAGAAGACAGTTAAAGAGCTAGGGAGTGTTTGACAGAAGTCTTAGAAAACTGTAAAATTATATGAGTCAGCAATACATGAAGATGTTTAAAGCAAGAAGTTTAAAGCAATTTAAAGAAATTTAAAGCACTGGCGTTCAAGGAAAAAAACTAGATGAATAAAAGGTTTTTTAGCATAATGGAACAGTTACAGTTAAAGCTTGTGATCGCTAAATAATGAGTCATGCAAGATTGAAATTTGGTTGATAAAAGTGATAATAGCTTGCCTGAGCTGTGATCATGGTTGTATTAGTAGAAAAAAGAAATAGCGACGTTGATGACAGATGCTCAAGCGTAATAGGTAGAGCAGGTTCGACAACAATTACAATAAAATTTTAAACCTCTAAAAAAGAGTAGGCCTTATTAGAAGAACCAGCTCAAATATGATAACAAAACTCCATACAAATATGATAACAATATTATATAATATAATAAAAAGAGATTTATATAATATATAAAAAGAAATTTATAATGGTAAAGAACAGAAACAGAGGAAAGATCAGATTCAAGATTGGTTGTTTATTTTTAGTGATTAAAAAATGTGATGACTTTTTACCAAGTAGAGTTTCTAGTAAATTTGTTAATTTTTAATTTGTTTTTATTTTTTAAAAAAGTTTGTTTTTTATCCACTTTAATTTTAGGAAAAAAAAGATCCTTTTTTGTATGCAAAGAATGTCAGAGAATACATGGCAAAGTAGTGTTTTTTATAGCTTTTGTATTTTTAATTTTAAACATTTGGATATAATATATTTTATGTGATTTTGTATAAAGAAATATTTTAAATATTGGTTACATCATTTAAGTTCTAAGTATACATGTTAGATTAGCGGAACTTCCTGTTTCTGATC